ACAATAATACAACTTGAAAACAATCTCCCTCACTCCCATGGTGGCACTACTTTGATAATGTCCACATACCTGGTTATTCTTCAGATGGGCCAAGTCTCACGTATCCACACAAGTCTTCACTCAGCTTTGAATGTGCCACTTCCCTGCTTTCCCCACTTACCCACTCCTCACCACTATCATTGCCTAGAAAGCTTCCAGCTCACCTTTCAAGATACAGCTCAAGAAGAAGATCAAGATGGGCTCACTGCCACTGCAGTTGCCATAGCCACTATCTGGTCCCAGAACCATTGTCCACTGCAGAACAGATCCCAGCAGAGCAGCAGTCCTATGGGTGGCCCATCACTGCTGTCATGGACTCCTCAGATGTGAGGTAGGTGGCGGCAACCACCATCATTGTTGCCACTGCCACAAGTTGACCCCACTGCCACTAAAGACACTGCAGATTCAAGGCAGACGGCTGCAGCTACTACAGCCACTGCCACTGCCATGCGGTAACCGCACTGCCACCAAGGACACCACAGATGCCAGGTAGGCAGTTGCAGCTGCTGGTGCTGCTTGCCATTACCACAACATAACCCCACTGTCACCAAGGACACCACAGAGGCAAGAGAGGTAGCTGCAGCCACCACTGCTTCTGCTGTCCCCATCAGGTAACCCATTGCTGCTGTGGACACTGTAGACATAAGGGAGGCAGTTGCAGTCACAGGCACCACTGCCACTCTCACGAGATAATTCTACTGCCATTGTGGACAACACAGATGCAGGGGAGGCACTTGCAGCAGCCGGTGCCACTGCTGCCCCACGAGCTAACCTTGCTATTGCTGTGGACACTGCAGATGTGAGGGAGACAGCTGCAGCCACCCGCCCTGCTGCCGCCCCCACAAGGTAACCCTGCTGCCACCAACAGCACCACAGATGCCAGGGAGACAGTTGTAGCCACCAACACTGCTGCTGCCAATGTGAAGTAACCCACCTGCTGCTGCAGACACCGTAGCTCTGTGGGCTGCCCCTGTAGAGACTGCAGCCAAGTGGGAGGCAGCTGCAACCACCACTGCTGCAGTTGTTGCCACCACTAGCACCCAACAGGTAGCCACCATCATTGTGCGAGCAGTCTGCCACCACTGGAGACTACTCATATGGGCAGCCTGCCAAAGCCATCTCCATAACCACCACTGCTGCAAGGATGGCCTGCTACCACAGTAGGCTGTGCAAGGCAGTACCACAGTAGCCACTGCTGTTGTGCTGGCAGACTACCAACCACTCAACTACATTGACACAGGAGTGTCAACAGGGGAGTCCAGGGAAAGAGAAATAGAAGCAACTGCTGTATGAGATGACCAGACACCAACATAGAAATACTAGAAATATGAAAGAAAAAGAAAAAGAAAATATGAGTTTACCAAAGGAATACATAAGTTTCAAGTACCAGACCCAATACAGCAGGAAACCCTTGAAATAAATGAAAAGGAATTCCAAATAAAAATCTTAAGGAAACTCACTGAAATAAAAAACACAATTAGCTGACACTATAAACTGAGCAAAATTATCAAGGATATGAAGGAGGAAATTTACAGATTAATATTTCTAAAAAGAATGTAGCAGAACTCATAGAACTGAAGGATTCATTCAATGAAATAAAAAATACAACTGAGAGCTTAAGCAGCATGCTAGAGCAAGCAGAAGAAATAATTTCAGATCTTGAAAATGATCTCTTTGAAATAACTCAGGTGGGCAAAAGAAGAAAAAGGAATTTAAAAAAACGAAGAAAATCTAAGCGAGCTAACAGACAACCTTAAGTACACAAATATGCAAATCATGGGTATTCCTGAAGGAGAATAGAAAGGAAAAGGTATTGAGAACATATTCAATGAAATAATAGCAGAAAACTTCCCAAGTATAGGGAGAGACACAAATGTTCAGATTCCAGAAGCTCAAAGATCCCCAAACAGATTCAATCCAAAAAGGTCCTCTCCAAGGCACATTATGGTCAAACTGGCAAAACTCAAACACAAACAGAGAATCCCAAAAACAGCAAAAGAAAAGTGTCAAGTCACCTATAAGAGAGTCCCCAACAGATTAACAGCAGAGTACTCAAGAGAAACTCTACAGACCAGAGGAGAATGGGATGATATATTCAAAATACTAAAAGAAAAAAACTGCCAGCCAAGAATACTGTATCCAGCAAGGCTATCCCTCAGAAATGAAGGAGAAATAGTGTATTTCCCCGACAAACAAAAACTATAAGAGTTCACCACCACACAACCAATCCTACAAGAAACCTTAAAGGGAGTCCTGCATCTGAAATCCAAAAAACAATGATGACTGCCATGACTACAAGAAAGAAAGAACAAAACCTACTGGGAATACAAAACTGCAAATGAGAAAGAAACCATATCTTACCACCTCCAAAAACCAACAAACACTGAAGACAAACAGTAAAAGGGAAAGAAAGTAACAAAAGATATTTAAAATATACGAGTGAAAATCAATAAAATGCCAGAAGTAAGACAATACCATTCAGAAACAACCCTATTATAAATGTATTTAATTCCCTACTTAAAAGACACAGACTGTCTGATTGGATTAAAAAGCTAGACCTAACAATATGCTGTCTATAAGAGATTCATCTCACTGGAAAGACATGCAGACTAAGAGTAAAGGGAGGAAAGAGATACACCACATATGGAAATCAAAAATGAGTAGGAGTAGCTATTCTTATATGAGATAAAATAGACTTTAAACCAAAAATTATAAAAAGAGATAAAGAAAACGACTGTATAATGATAAAGGGATCTATCCAGCAAGAAGACATAACAATTGTAAACATATATGTACCCAACATCGGAGCACCCAGATATATAAAGCAAACAGTATTAGAACTAAGGAAAGAGATAGACCTAAATATGATAATAATTGGGGACCTGAAAACCCCTCTCTCAACATTGGACAGATCATCTAGGCAACAAATCAACAGAAAAACACAGGACTTAAACTACACTTTAGCTCAACTGGACTTGGCAGATATCTACGGAACATTTCATCCAACAACCACAGAATATACATTCTTCTCATCTGCACATAAACATTCTCCAGGATGGACTTTATGTTGGGCCAAAAATCAAGCCTCAATAAATTCAGAAAAATGAAATCATTTGAAATATCTTCTCAGACCACAACAGATTAAAACTAGGAATAAATAAAAAGTGAAACTCTGGAAACTATATGAACACATGAAAATTAAACAACGTGCTCCTGAACGATGTATGGGTTCAAGAGGAAATTAAACAGGAAATAAAAAAATTTCTCAAAACTAATGAAAATAAAGATATGTCATACCAATATCTGTGGGATGCTGCAAAAGCAGTAGTAAGAGGCGAGTTTATTGCAATAAACGTTTACATGAAAAAATAGAAAGATTCCAAATAAACAACCTAACACTAGACCTCAAAGGACTAGAAAAATAAGAACAATACAATCCCCAAATTAGTACATAGAAAAAAATAATTAAGATCAGAGTAGAACTAAATGAAATAGAAACCCCCCCAAAATGATACAAAAGATCAATGAAACAAAAAGTTTGTTTTTTGGGACAATAAACAAAATAGACAAAACATTAGCTAGGCCACTAGAAAAGAAAGAGAGAAGACGCAAATAACAAAAATTAGAAATGAAAAAGGAGACATTACAACCAATACCACAGAAATACAAAGAATTATTAGAGACTATTACAAACAACTATACACCAACAAATTTGAAAACCTAGAAGAAATAGATAAATTTCTGGACATATACAAACTACCAAGACTGAACCAAGAAGAAACACAAAACCTGAACAGACCAATAACAAGCAACAGGATTTAAGCAGTAAGTAGCAGTCTCCCAACCAAGAAAAGCCCAGGACTGGAAAGCTTTACTGTTGAATTCTACCAAACCTTTAAAGAGGAATTAATACCAATTCTCTTCAAACTATTCCAAAAAATTGAAACAGAGGCCATTCTCCTAAATTCATTCTATGAGGACAGCATCACCCTCATACCAAAACCAGGCAAAGATACAACAAAAAAGGAAACTATAGGCCAATATCTTTGAGGAATATAGATGTAAAAATCCTCAATAAAATATTAGCAAATACAATGCAGCAACACATCAAAAAAAGTTATACACTATGATCAAGTGGGATTCATCCCAGGGAAGTAAGGATGATTTACATATGCAAGTCAATAAATATGATATACCACATTGACAAAGTCAAGGACAAAAACCATATGAGTATCTCCATGGATGCATAAAAAGCATGTGACAAAATTGAGCATCCTTTCATGATAAAGACTCTCAGCAAATTAGGCATAGAAGGAAAGTATCTCAACACAATAAAACCCATATATGACAAACCCACTGCCAATATCAAAGCATTCATCTTTTCCCTTAAGAACAGGAACAAGACAAGGATGCCCACTCTCACCACTCCTTTTTAACATAGTATTGGAAGTACCAGCCAGAGCAATCGGGCATCCAGGCTGGAAAAGACAAAGTCAAATTGTCTCTGTTTGTACATGACATGATTCTACATATAGAAAAGGCTAAAAGACTTTACAAAGAAACTATTTGAGTTGATAAATGATATTAGTAAAGTTGCAGGATACAAAATCAACATGCAAAAATCAGTAGCCTTTTTATACTCCAACAACAAACTAACAGAAAAGGAAATCAAGAAAGCTAGCCCATTTACAATAGTCACCAAAAAAATAAAATACCTAGGAGTCAATTTAACCAAGGCGGTGAAAGATCTCTACAACGAGGACTACAAATCACTGTTGAAAGAAATTACAGAGGACACAAAAAGATGGAAAGACATTCTATGCTCTTGGATTGGAAGAATTAACACTGTGAAAATGAGCCATTTGTCCCCGGGGTCCTGAGACAATGGCAGGAGCTGCGGGCCTCAGCCCTGCCCACCGCTGTCTGTATATGCAGGCCCAGCGACCACGGAGGAGTTGGCATCATTCGTTCACAGGGTCCAAAGAAGAAGGCAGGACTTGCAGGCCGCAGCCCTGCCCACCACTGTCCACAACCATGACAACCACAAGGTCAGAACCAAAAGTCCCCATACCCAAAGACCCCAGGGCCCTGAGATGGGGGCTCAGGGCCTTAGCCCCATCCCCCTTTCCGCCCTCCTCCCCTGCAACAACATCTTAGAGTATACTTATTAGACACGAGTGTTTCTATGGGGTGTGTAACTTATCTGCTCATGTTCTTCACCAAGTTTCTGCTTAGATTTTCCTAATTCATTTTTAAGAGTTTTTTCTCATTAAGGATGTTAATCTTTGTGTTAAATTTGTTCCTTATCACTTGATGTTAAAAAAAAAAAAGCAGCAGCTTAGGTAGAAGTTTTGAGGCACAAATAGATATGGTTGATTATTTTGTTTTGGGTTTCACATCTTAAGATAGCACCAAGAGACTTGTTTTACAAAGTTTACAAAGACAAAATTAGTGATTTAGTAGTTCTGTAGGTGTGCAGTCAAGCTGGATATCCATAATAAACAACAATTTACTGCACGTTATAAAATGGCTAGAAAAGAGGAGCTTTAAATGTTCTCATCACAAAGAAATGATAAATTTTTACGGTGATGAATTTGTTAACTACCCTGATTTGATCACTACACATTGTAATTGTATACATGTACTGAAATACAACTGTATAACACAAATGTGTATAATCATTTCGATAGAAAATTTAAATTAAAAAAAATTATGAAAATTTCCATACTATCCAAAGCAATCTAAAGATCAATGCAATCCCCATCAAAATACCAATGACATTATTCACAGAAATAGAAAAGAACAATCCTAACATTCATATGGAACAACCAAAGACTCCAAAGAGCTAAAGCAATCCTGAGCAAAAAATAAATAAATAAAGCCAGAGGCATAACACTTACCTGACTTCAAATTATACTACGAAGCTATAGTAACAAAAACAGCATGATGCTGGCATAAAAACAGATACTCAGACCAATGAAGCGGAATAGAGAACCCAGAAATCAGCCCACAAACTTACAGTCAACTGATCTTCGACAAAGGCACCAAGAACATACACTGGGGAAAAGACTCCCTCTCCAATAAATAGTGCTGGGAAAACTGGACATCCATATGTAGAAGAATGAAACTAGACCCATATCTCTCACCATATACCAAAATGAACTCCAAATGAATTAAGACTTAAATATAAGACCTGAAACTATAGAACTCCTAAAAGAAAACATAGGGGAAACACTTCAGGAAGTAGGACTGGGTAAAGACTTTATGACTCTCAAAGCATATGCAATAAAAAGAAAAATAATCAAATGGGATTATACCAAACTAAAAAGCTTCTGCACAGCAAAAGAAACAATTAACAGAGCAAAAAGACAACCTACAGAATGGGAGAAAATATTTGCGAACTATGCATCTGACAAAGGACTAACATCCAGAATATTCAAGGAACTCAAACAACTTAACAGTAAAAAAAATAATAATAATAACCTTATCAAAAAATGGGCAAAGGAGCTGAGTAGGCATTTCTCAAAGGAAGATATAAAAATGGCCAAAAGACACGTGAAAAAATGCTCAACATTACTAAGCATCAGAGAAATGCAAATCAAAACTACACTGAGATATCATCTCACCCCAATTAATCTGGCTACTATCAAAGACAGAGAATAACAAATGTTGGCAAGGATGTAAAGAAAGGGGAACACTCCTACACTGTTTGTGGGACTGTAAATTAGTGCAGTCATTATGGAAAACAGTACGGAGGTTCCTCAAACAACTACAGATAGAACTGCCATACGATCCAGCAATCCCACTGCTGGGTGCATACCCGAAGGAATGGAAATCATCATGTGGAAGGGAAACCTGAATCCTCATGTTTATCGCAGCTCTGTTTACAATAGCCAACAGTTGGAATCAACCTAAATGTCATCATCAGACGACTGGATAAGGGAAATGTGGTTTATATGGAATACTACTCTGGAATATACTATGGAAAACTACTCTGCCATAAAAAAGAATGAAATACTGCCATTAGCAGCAACATGGATGAACTTAGAGAAAGTCATGTTAAATGAAATAAGCCAGGCACAGAAAGAGAAATATCACAAGTCCTCACTCATAAGTGGGAGCTAAGAAATAAAGAAAAGGAAGGAAGGATGGAAGGAAGGAAGGAGGAGCGAGGGAGGGGGGATGGAGGGAGGGAAAGAAGGAAGGAAGGAAGGAAGGAAGGAAGGAAGGAAGGAAGGAAGGAAGAACAATCACAATAATATGTTGAACTTTGAAAAAGAGAGTACAGAACTGAGATTACCAGAGGTGGGAAAGGGGGAAGGGGAGGGAGGGTAAGAGAGGACTTGGTAAAGGGACAAGAAAAACAATTACATTGTATAGTGTTGAATATACTAATTATGCTGATTTGAGCATCACACAGTCTTAATATTCAACTCTGTACCCCACAGACACGTATGATCAACTATGTTACAATAAAAAAAATAAATAAAATTTTAAAAAAGATACAACTCAACTGTCTGAAAAGTCTTCCTGTTGTGACATAATGAAAACACTTGCCAGAAAATAGATTTCTTAAAAAGATTAAAGAAATATATTTTCTGTGATATATATAATTCTAATTCTTATTGCTAATTTTTAGTGTTACAAAAAAGTCACTTAAGGGCTGGCCAGTAATCTCAGTTGGTTAGAGCGTGTTGCTGGTAAAGCCAAGGTCAAGGGCTCAGATCCTCTTACTGGCCAGCCACCAGAAAAAAAAAAAAGAGTCACTTAAATGAAACAAAATAGCCATTAATTTTTATTTATCTAGATATTTCTACATTTTCTAAAAATCGCTTCCTGCTTAAAGAAACAGCCAAAGTCTTCAAGACAAACCCTGATCTGGGAAAAATACTAATAGATTTTTGGAAGTCCACATATACAAGACATATTCTTGTTTAGAAAACTAGCATTTATGACAGATTTAAAATTTTTTTTCGAAATAAAATAAATCTAAATTTGTTAATACAGTCAGCTCTCATATCCATGGTATGTCATTCATGAATTCAACCAACTACCAATCAAAAATATTCAGAAAAAAAATTCTGTCTGTGCTGAACATGTACAGACTTTTTCTTGTCATTATTTCCTAAATACAGCATAACAACTATTTACATAACATTTATATTGTACTAGGTAGTATAAGTAATCTAGAGATGATTTAAAGTATACAAAAAGTGCATAAATTATATGAAAATACTACACCATTTTATGTCAGGGACTTGAACATCCATGGATTTTGGTATCCTCAGGAGGTCCTGGAACCAAGCCCCCACCAACACCGAAGGATGACTGTATTACAAAAATAACACAATCATGTACTTTTTAAAATAGATTTAAACTTAAATGCATTCAAACTGATATAAAAATAGGCATAAAAATAATTGTGCCAGGCTATACCTGGTATTGCAAATTCCACCTGGGAAATGAATTTATGACTATACTATAAACTTCTAAAACTCTGAAGTTTTAATAAATATGCTGACACAACCTTAACCATAACAGTTCTAGCAACTGCTGCTATAATAAATCTGTCGGTTTCTACAATGGCTATGACAAATGCTATTAATATGAATGATGTTCACTTCACACAGCAACTACACAAATTATGTCATCTCCATTCTGAGTAGCAATCAGTAATCAATATTTGTAAAAGCAACAGCTAATCCTTTGTAAAATCACTGGTTCAGTGATTGAAGAGTTTGCTCAATCCACACAGTTAATCCCTCTTCATCTGCTTGAGCCCAGACTCTTACAGTGCTAGCTATGGCAGATTAATACATCTCCACATGCTAAACATGACCTGACAATTGACACAGGATATCGCTGACAGGATAAGCTCTACAAACACTGGCCTTTAAAAAAGAAAGCTTAAAATTAAGACTCAGAAACCCAAAGTTTACAAATAGGCTCACCACTATCCCTTCCCAGCTCCAGTCATCTGATTTATTTAGCTCACTCTCCTTATTTTTGTTTTGAACAAGTCCACTAGCTGATCTTAGAATGCCTATTCATAAAGCATGTACCGATATTAATCTTTAAAATACAGGTAAATAGGAGTTTCCTGGCTAAGAAAAGAGGCCCATTTGTAGAGACCCATTTGGAGAATTCTTATGTGAGAAGTAAAAGTAACTGTTCTCAGCTACTTCAAAGTTCTACACTTTAAGAAAATCTCAAAAAAGCATTTTAAAGCTTAGAACAAAGCTTTAAGTTGCATTTTCAAAAAATCAAAAAAGATGCATTTTCATACTGAAAAGTGGTTAACGATATTATAAATAAACTGCTCTGTGCTGAGAGAAACAGATATTATAAAGTTATAAAATTAAAAAGTTTAACCATCCCTAAAAATTAGATGAGATGACGGATCCCTCTTTAGGAATATATTAAATCTTACTTAAAGACCCAACATAAATTTCTTTAATTATTTAGTTATTTATTTAATTATTTTAGTTATTTCTTTTATTATTTAGTTATTTTAATTCAGGTATTCTATGCACCTTTGTTGAAACCGCTTGAAGGAAAAGCAAATGCAAATTTTATGTCAAATTAAAAGTAAAAAATAGGCCTACAGAGAAAAATTAATTCCTAACCCAAGATATTGAATTAAATTAATTTTTTAGAAAGACAACATAAACTCCTTTATATATATGACTTCTCACTAGTTGTATCTAATATAGGTAGAATATCGATCAAGCTATGAAGTCTTATATTTTTCATTAATCCTGAGAGGAAGACAATATGGTAAGGCTGAGAAGAAACAGTATGAGAGGATCGGGAGGGAACTTTCTGACCAGAAGTCGACAGAAGAGAAATGAATCAACAGTCAGTACAGGCTGAATATCCCTTTCTGGAAATGCTTGGGACCAGAAGTGTTTTGGATTTTGATTTTTTCTGGATTTTTGAATATTGCATATATAATGAGATATCTTGGGGATGGGACCCAATTCTAAACATAGAATTTATTTATATTTCGTATATACCTTATATACCTAGCCTGAAGGTAATTTTATACAATATTTTTAATAATTTCATTCATGAAACAAATTTTGTGCACTTTGAACAAAGTACACAAAGTACAGGAAACAAAGGTGTCACTATTTCAGT